CAACTGCGATGCCATTTTGACACAAATTGATGCTATCACGGTGATTGCGATGACATAAAAGGGGCTGTGATGCAATCATTTTCTGTCAAATTGCGACGCATTTGGCATCGCAACAGGCTGTTTTCTGCTGACGACAGTGCGCTGCAGTCAACAGCCACTCAGGGTGGACAAGGAGTCCGCCGCACTTGGGGATGTTGAGCTTGTCGCGCAATGACACCATGTACGGGTAACGGCCACACCGTGCATCTGTCCCTGTTCAATATACACACACAGCCAGCAAGCAGCCGTCAGTCCGCATTACACTGCCGAGCACTGGTTTCATCAGCTGCAAGCGGCATTCCACATGCCAACAATGCTCACATCGGATTGCAGACATTCTACACGCGCTGGTATCGTTGGTCAAGTTGGCTTGAAGACAACCAATGCTTACAACTGAGACACGATTCCATGTGGATTCACAGGGTGACGTTCAATTTCTTTACCAGACTCCCGGGATAAGCAGTAATGAATCTAAACACATAACTCGACATTGTGGCCAGGGGATGCCTAGCCCAATGTGCAGAAAACTGAGCTTCTCCACAACAGCTGCGCATATGTGTGGTCTGGCAAGAGTGAAGAGGCGTGCTGAATGTGTCCATTTCTTATCTTTTGTCTAACCCAAATATGCTTTTCCTCAGAGTCGGGCAATCTCACAGGAATGTCGCACAGCGGCGGATTATTCAGCTCCTACAGCTTCTACATTCCGCGGTGGAGGCAAACCTGAAGAGCTACCCTGCAAGTGACCTTATTCACCGTGGAGGTGGTATGCAAAACACAGCATCACAATTTGAGACAGAGACGGCCTTGGTGGACGCGAGTGTTTCAGAAGCAATTCACTGATTCCTGGCCACTGATGCCAATACCTTGTCGTTTTCCGGTTGTCTGGGCTGAGGATTGAAGTTTCCAAGCCATTAGCCCTGCATGGTAGCAGGTCCCTACCGAGATTGGGGGATAGGGGACGCGCCTTAACTGGCGCCGCTTCCTGGACGCTCCGATCAATTCCGTCCCTGTCAGACAGCACCACAAGAGTGACTTCCCCGTTCAATACCCTGGGCAGGCCCCGTCCCGCTCGAGCTTGCTGTGCTTCTGTCGGGCGCCCGATGCAAATCTCGGCCCTCTCACATCCTGCACTTTTGCCCCTGCCTCAGCGGCGGTCAAGCTTGCTTTCAAGCTCCCCATGGAAACGAATGTCCGAAAAAAGGCCCCAACGCAGTGCTCCCAGGAACACTCACGGGCAAAACACACCGCAAAACCAAGGCGAGGGTTTCTCGGAACTGACGCGCTGCAGTGACAGAACAGAATGGGCGGATTCTTTGCGTCGGCTGGAGCTGTAGAGGCACCAAGCAGGGCAGGCGAGGCAGACATGGTCCATCGCTTCAGGCGTCTCGCCTGGCCTCGCCGTGGACTTCCGGCGCCGATCCTGCCGCCAAAAGGGCCAACAAGGCGAAAAGCAGCGCCCTTGTTGCGCTACCCGCGGTTTCCGTCGTCTCTGACTTGAATTTGCTATGGCGAAAGAGCTGTCAACCTGGAAGAATGTGTTCCTTGCCACATGAACGCACTGCGGCATGCGTGGCAGCTACCGCGTGCGATCTTCTACTGATGATCTTCCAAACTGCCTGGCCACTCTGCCCTTAGCGAATGATGATCTTCTACTGATGATCTTCCAATCTGCCTGTCCACTCTGCCCTTAGCGAATGATGCGCCTAACAACGTAGATTCCGAAATGGTTTTCGACGTGGAGACTTGGATTAATGACCACCGCTGCGCCTCGCAAACTGGGCATAAGTTGTTTGAAGAGGCATTTGTAAGGCGAAGGCAACGCGAATGGCTTGGGTCCTAAAAAGAAATTCCGAGGCAACAAGTGTCGTGGGTCTATGATTGAAAGAATAGTGTTCGCTCCAATATCGGTACTCAATCCGACCCTTGTACAGGGCTCTCACCGCCACCCACGCTGGACATAAACCTCACCAAAAACGCCTCAAGACGACCGCCAGACACGTCAGATCAATTCCTTTCCATTGCGCAGCTAATCATTCCTAGTGTGTAATCGCATGTAATACAGATACACGGCAATACCACCAATACATAATCGCAGCTAATCATTCCTTTGCCAGGAACAGTGCTCCTCCCCCGGAACGTAGCGCTTAGTTACCTAAGGCCTTGTTCGCTCCCCAGACACATCAAATCCTGGAAATTGTCCACAGCAAGGATCCTGGCCCGGCTTACCTAATCCTTGGCCCTTCCTTGGTGTCCGTGACGTCAGCGCCAACGCCGCAAATATGACATCTGTCTGGCATTGGCGGGGTGTTCTTAACCCTTCTCCAATCCTGGAGAGTGACGAACTGCTGACTCGTTAAGCACCTCTAATTCGGAATTAGGGGCGCCTGACTCCTCAATCCATGGGACAGAGAGTTCTCGAACGGCTGTCGCCAAAGGGTGCTGGTGGACTCTTAAACAGTCATCCCAAATCAACACGTCAGCAGGGTCGCGGCGATGCCAATCATCACAACAACGTACTTACGTAAGTACGATTATGTGTACATCATTTTGGGCATTAATGCCACAAGAACTAGCTTAAAACAGTACCAAATAACAATTTTTGTGGACACATATATATGCATTTCGTCAGTGTTCTGCATGCTCAAAACACGGAAATAACCCAAGCCCATAAATTTTGTGCACGTTTAAACACGTGTTATTTGGTTCTTTTTTCCCTAACGAAGTGTATCCAGTACTCCTGGCCACATGAATCACAATCATAGCCGACATTATCCGGTCAAACAGGAAAGGCACCTGTAATTTCAAACACATACGCACCACACCAAAAGACAGGGATGGATATGGAGCATGGGGTGCATTGCAAACCACGACTTGAAATGGAATGCATTTCAACGATAAATGTGAAACTCACACTGTCAATACGTGTATTCCATGCAACCGCACTTGCTGCTAAATTTGCTCACATCTGCGTACGCTGCACAGTCATTGGTGTACGCTCTAAGTCCTGTCTTCCGCTTTCTGTCCCCCCGCAAATGGGAATATGTGCAGTGGAGTTGCTGCCTTCAGTCACGCCTCGGGGCCGATAACAGTTCGTGTAGAAATTGAACTCGGAACTTGGCTACACACGGGTCTCGCCTTATGCGCTATTGAGTCCAGCATGCTGCAGGTATCTTTGGAACAGTCTCAACAATAGTCTCAATAGTCGGTGTCATGCACGACTCCGCACCTTCCAAGCCTAAAAGCCTCGGAAGCTTTCGACGTCTTCCTGTATACCATTGCTGAAAGATGGCTGCACGCACACAACTGCAGACACGTGGGGCGATGGCGTTTCGAGCATGCAGTGCACTGCTGACTAAGCGGCTTGCGACAATCGAGGCAAATTTCGCCCGTGAGGTGGTCTGTGGAGTGGTGGTTGCAACCCCAACTGCTTTGGGTAGAGGACGACCACGCTTTCGATGACACCACCACCGTTTGCGATGGGGTGGGGTGCACCCACGTGGACGGGGTGGGGTGTGCCCACGTGGGCGCATTGTTGGGGTTCTTCGAAGGAGTTGCAAGCTGGAACATCGTCAGTGACAAATGCACCATGGCTGCCTTGATCCAACACGCATGCGCACATTGATATGACATGCATTTGGTTATGGGCGCCTAGCAAACTCGCGTCAGCGCGTTCACAGACATGTCCGTAGTACTTCGCGCTGTTGTGTCCTCGATTAGCGGCCTGGCCCCGTGGGTTTAGGTCATCAAACACAACAGCGTGTTTCTGTACCAACATGACGCAAAGTATTTTCAGGACCAAGACACACAATAAATACAACATGTTGCAGCTGAACAATGTACTGTACTATTGTAACTGAATCGGAACTGCGCAGGTGACATATAGCTAGCGCAATGTCTATTGGCAATGGGTAGCACAGCTATCTCTCAATGCCTTGTGAGGTGGCAACAAAAACCGCACCCCCGCTGACGGGGTGGGCACCCTCCCTCATGCACGATGCAAGCTTGAAGCAACATGCTGGTTCACCAAAAATGCATGCCAGTTTTCAATAAAGGAAAGAGTCCAAGCAGCGATTCCCGGAAGTCAGATGATCCGAAACAGATCATCGATCTACCACAAGCCTAGCATCCGCCGTAGACGCCTTGCAGTACAAATTTGCCACTACCACAGCACTTCAAGCAGTACTTTAGCGCAGTGCTTGAACGCAGCGCTTTTCCTCGTGGCTCTGTGTTCACTGCACTCCATGCCTATTCTACTATTTCACCCACCGCCATTCACAGAGCAACCCCTCTCCTGCATCCTATTGCGACCATCACCCCAGCCGCCAATTTTACAACGGTCCTTTCTAAGCTCCTATTTTTTGAAAATATCTTTTCAAAATACTTTACCTAAGCGCCCTCTGAGCCCCATTCCAGTCAAAAATTGGAACAAAATCGAATGCGGTTCCGCTCTTGGCCTGCAGTTGCTGAGCATGACGCCTTACTGGCGTGCGTGTGCAGCACACTCCCATCCCCACCTTATATCTAATTTTCTTTCAATCTGCGCCCTGATTCCAAACGCCCTATCAGCAAAGCGGTGCAGCCAAATATTGCAAATACTGAGCCTCCCAACGGATTTCACTAAATGAAGCTTTAAGTGCCAATCCCATGGTGACTGTAATGCCCGTCGCAATCAATGACCAATTGCGCTGCCACTCCAAGCCACCAACGAGGTCCAATGCCAATCCATATCTACACTTCACAGCAGTCGCACAGCGCAGCCCAGCACTGCTACTCAACCAACAACTGCTCAGGCAGCAGATGGCGCATTCTGACGCTATTCCTAATCCTAATACTATTCCCAACCCAACCCAATCCTCATTCTAATCCCAATCTTAAAACTAATCCCAATCCTATGACTACTCCCAGTCCTCGCACTAATCCCAGCCCCAATACTAATCCCAATGCTAGTACTGGGGAGTCTACTACGCCTGGTAGTATATGACATACTCTGGGTACGCCTGGGCGTTATCGAAAATTGCGTACATGGAGTGGTTCCGTGTCGCATCTGTCACGGAATCGAATCCTTCTGGAGGTTTCCTTAGGCCCAACTGCCCCCGAGCAGACCTCCCCAGCGCCACGCGGCACAGGAGCATGGCCACCACGCGGCCACCGGCATTTCCAGGAACCTGATGACGTCAGCACGTTGCGTCAGCTCACTGCGTCAGTCATTGCGTCACCACATTGCGTCAGAACGGTAAATTGCAGCAACGGTAACAATGGCAAACAGCTCGGTAATAGGAAATTACAATGCTGCAAATCATCGTAGGTCTAACTGCAATAGTGTGTACGCAATATTTAACAATGCATATTGACACTTGTGGCGCAATGGTTGCAGTTACCTGATCGGAGTAGTAGTTGTCTGTCTCCAAGCAACAGCGACGGGTATGGGAGCCAACACGGTAGGCAAGCAAACGCCAGTACATGAGAAATGCATGTGTTTGCGTGTTGGCCACAGATACTAGTACATACTTCTCTCAATTGACAAACTTCGCTGAGATGTTTCCGTCATTCACTGTACTCACAATGTCGGTATTGGAGCAGAAAACCATCAGAAATTCAGGTCGCATTCGCATGGCCCATCGGCTCAGCAACATCAGGTGCCCGCACACCCCATGGGGTGGCCAGTGCAAGCCAGTCCTGGCCAGTACAAGACACCAGTTTTCCGATGCCAACTGCGATACCATTCGACACTAATTGATGCCATCACCACTGCACTGATGCCATCACAATCACTGTGGCGGCGCCACACAGAGTCGAATCGACATTGCAGCTGGCATCGCGAAAATGGCGCTTCCCGTTGGGGGTGCTTCCTGTTAGGGGCAATCCTAAGGAAAAGCAGCTTGCAATTAGTCCACAGCCATTTACAACATGATACGATGAGTTGGCGCGCCATCTACAGCGCCATCAATGCAGCCGCGCACCTGCACCCCCGGGCCCAGCCCTGGCAACGCTGGCACCGCCGGCGGCCTGGCCGAAGGCCCAGCCGGTGGCCCTCGAGGCAGCACAATCGCTGGCATCCTCGGCGGCCCCATCCTTTGCGGCAAGGGGGCAGTCGCCCTGAATCGGCCGCGGCCACCATGTTGGCGCAGGCCAGTTGGCCTTGGCGTATTGGGCCGTGGGAACATCATGAAGGTGAACCGCCCCCCCCCGAGCGGGGCCCCTGGGCCCCGGGGGCGCTTCATGGAGTAGATGTGGGAGTAGGAACTGCTCTCGGAGAAATAGGCTCCTGCTCCCATGGCGCCGTTGAGGTTGGCCACCCGGATGTCGAAGCCATCCCTGCAACCAAAGCAAACAAACCAACAGATGCATGGAGGGATGGATAAACAATTAATTAATTATTTATTTAATTAATTGATTAATTGATTAATTGATTGATTGATTAATTGATTGATTAATTAATTAATTAACAAACAAACAAACAAACAAAAGATCGCCTACACAATTAACAAATCGATTAAGCAAATAAACTGGCGATGAAGCAAATCGACAAATAAGTTGGCAGATAAGTGAAAAAATACATAAATAAATAAACAAACAGTAAATAAATAGACAAACAAAACAGATGAGTAAATAAATAAGAGTATGAATTGGCAGAACAACCAGTAAACAAATGTTGAGCGTTGGGGGAAATCTAGAATGCACTGATGGGCTGTGACTAAAGCATTAACGCGGACCCCATGAGAGCGGCAACGTCCATTCACAATGGTCCAGACAGCATGGAGGAGTTTCTCAAGCCCTCACCGCTGCACCGCTTAGTTCTGCTCCTAAACAGGAATCCAATCATGATTCATATGCACCGTACATTAACTGGGAGTTACGGTTCCACAACCGTATTCGGCAGCTCTGCACTGACAGCAGCAACGTTCGTGCGCGCACACCACCAAGTAGTGGGCAGCTGCATCATTGCTTGGGTTACTGATATGACAATAGCCGAACGCACTGCAGTATATGCCACCACAGAGCACGTCAGTGTACATGTTTATTGACAGTGCACAGTGTCGTACATTCTGACACGCCGCATACAGCGTTGAAACCGCAGTACATGCTGTGGCAACAGAACACTTGTACTGAGGGAAGCACACTGGCAAAGAGCGTTCCATTTCACAAAACTTCATTCCGTGCTTTAGTGGTGCCAATTGCTAATTGCTAATAACTGTGCAATATTGGCAGTGGCCGTGCTAGGCGCAGATCACACTGTGCTATTTTAGCCGTGCTTTGCCACCATTTCTTTTTCCAGCATTACCTGGTTATCGTTTCCAGTGACGCCATGTCTGACCCATGAAACAGCGGGCGTTCATTGACTCCCCCATCGCCCGCAGCTTCGCGGATCTCCGAACTCCGTGCACAGTACTTTTCCCACAGGCGTTGATTCTGCACACGCTGGACACAGACCACGGATGCCCGAGAGGGGGGGCCGTGTCCAGCATCAAACCTGCGCAATGAAATTGCATTCCACAATGCGTTACGTGTTGTGCGTTATCGTCCATTGTGCATCATGTGTTACATGCTATGTGTTGTGTGTTGTGCATTGTGTGTTGCATGTTGAGTGTTGTGTGTTGTGCATTGTGTGTTGTGTGTCGTGTGTTGTATGTTGAGTGTTGAGTGTTGTGTGTTGTGTCTTGTGTGTTCTGTGTTGCGTGTTGTTGCATCGTGTGTTATGTGTTATGCATCCTGTAACCGCCCACATCAGAGAGCAAAGTCGCCCGAATCTTGCACAGTTCTAGTGGCCTTGAACTACCACAGCATGTGCATCCATTCCTAACTCAAACCATACTGAGAACCAGGAATCACGACTTTTGGTGCTGTCAGCCAATTTTCGGAAGTTCGGGGCATTCTACACTGATGACAGTGGATCTGGGATATTTCCTGCCATTGCACTTTAAATGAGTGTTCTTGCCGATGGACCAAGGACAGCACCCAACACCTTTCAGGGCAAGTTAGTAAAAGCAAGTACTATAAAGTACTCAACCTTATATCATTTCCCCCCAAAACAGGGTTAGGTGGGTCCCACCTCACTGCCAACCTTCACTAAGCCCCCCCTTCCCCCCAACCCCACCCAGGGCGCCTGGCCCCTCCTTCCCTGGATTGTCAACGCCCTCCTACTAACGCTAATACCGGCTCCAGTTATAGTTCGCAACAGCCTAAAAAGAAGAAGAGCTGGCACCCAGGACGTATCTGCCATTTTGGACTTTGCAAGAAAAGACCGGCAGCACATGCGTTCTTTTTAAATACCTGCATTACAGTGTTTTCAAAAAGGAAACAAAACGGTGAAAAGCGGAATAAGGCTCAGTGATTTACTGCATTTTCTTGTGCACAAGCCTCCTTTGCAAAAGTCGTACGGGGTCAGTACTTTGAAGTGCTTGAACTTGTTGTGTGCTACATTCTCCTGAAAGGGTGTTGTACCACTTCTTGTTGAGAGGGTACGTGCTCTGCAAGCACCCCAAACACACCTTTCAAGCACGAGCTCCAGTTCCCGCGCCGATTCCGCCCCAGCCCTCTGGCTGATCTCAGCTGCTGCGCCTGCTCCCCCGTTCGCCAAACTCTCCACATGAAACGCCAGCGCCTCTGCTATGTTGCCATCGAATTCCTTCAATGCTGCTGATGCATCTTCGTGGCTGACCCCGGCCTCCATCATGACTGCAATGCTTTCATCATGGTGGGTTCCCGCCTGGTCTGCATTCGCGCCGGTCCCCTGCTGCCTGTCGCAGCAGTGGCGCGCCATTGGAGTCGTTGGAAATTGTATTGCTCTGCACTGCTTTGCACTACTTGAACTACTTTGTACTGATTGCACTATTTTGCAAGTTGTACTGCAGATTGTACTGCTTGCACTACTGATGTGTGTACATAGCTGTTGCTGATACTATGTATATGTAGTATCAGTACGTGATATCATGTGTACTATCGTAAATTCTCAGTATGTAGCATCAATACATAGCATTATGTACATGTGTGTGTCTTTGCTGCGTGTGCAATATGGCAAGTTGCTGTGCAACTTGCCATTGCTGATGACCTGACTATGCAGCGGCATGTAATTTGCAATTGGATCAGTGTACTGATCCGATTCCCAGTACCATATTGCAATAACATTGATCCAATTGTCAGTGCAACATATTGTTCTTACATACTCAGTATGATGCTGACGCTGTTGAGTGTATGCCATGTGAACGAATGTCTTTAGTCACCTTGCAGGTGCAAGAACCTGTTTTACATTGTAAAAAAATGAAAATCCTATATGTGCAGGTATAGGAACGCGACTGCTACAACCAGTTCGCTGGATGATTGTGCAATGCGGTCTGACGTCATAACCCTGTACATGGCTATTTGCCCCTGAGGAATGCCTCTACATCATGTGTGTCTATTGTGTACCTTCGCCTTTTTGAGCTGTGTGGATGCCTGGTGGTAAAAACCCGGCAAAGGTACACAGTGGATACTCGTGTAACCCACAACGCCACAAATCCTTGAATATGTAAAGGACGAAGACAGCAGGAAGACTTACTTGCTGTTGAAAGTTTGCACATCGTTTTTCGCGCAACTCAACAGATTTCGCTCACCGCTCTACTGATTGTGTGATGCTCTGTTCTTCCTTTCGAACAGTACTGGTGCCAAACTAATGGTAATACATGAAAGCGCAGTACTTCAATCATACCTGTAAAGCTCTACGTAGATGACCGGCCTTTCCTTCGAGCATTGTTGCTTCGACCAGTAAGACGGCGGGGAGGTGTCTTTCTCCTTGGCCTCAAGCCGTGCCTGGAAATCAACCGATTCGTCAAATATCGACGTGTCAATGCAGTAAACATTTCATACATATATAATATATATTTCCTCCGTCCCAGATTAATTGTCGTCTATGATCTTGGGGCATTTTTCTCCATCATTCCCGCACCTGTTTTCAGTGAAATTTCGTCTAGGTAGTGATTTTGAGTTGGGAGCACACCATAAAAATTTCAAGTCAATCCCTTGAGTATTGAGGATTTGGCAGTACTTTGTATCAAGGCTCTTTTCATATAGTAAATCTCAATATTTGGGGTCACAAATGACCAACATTCACCTTCGCCTTGCGCTCAAAAGAGTCATGTCTCACTTTTTCTTCTTGAAAATTGATAGTCAAGGGAAACACTAAAGATAAACAAACAAAATTGAGCTAACCAAGAAATCAATGGGTAGGCAGCAAAAGGTAAACAAATGAATGGGTAGACAGATGAACGAATGCAACTTGGTAAGTCAGCAATAAGTAAGGACATAAAAACGCATCATAATGTGTTCATTAGTTAATGAGTAAGAAATTAAACAAATGTACGCACTTTGGCACCCCTGGCCTCCTCTTCCAATTCTCTGCATCTTCTTGCAGCCTTCGCCTCTGCCTCTGTCTTTTCGGCCTCCGCCCTCAGCTGAATAAAATGCACTCCAAAATGTTGTCAGAAAAACAACGAAAGTTCGAAAGAAATCTCGCAAAAGATGCAAAAAGTCACGAGCGGACAATGCACAAGAATGACAACAAGCGCACGGGCTAAATATCGACTTTCAACATTTCTTCGCTCTTTAAATTTCATTTACTTGGACACTTTCAATACTCCAACAGAGTGAACCAATCCAATTCAAGCGTGAGACGGACTTGGCGAAATCGCCACAACTTTGCCATGCAGAACATCAGGGGCAGCCCAAGCGAAAGTCGCACCTCAGCCAGGCGCGCTTGCCTTTCAGCATCTTGGCAGCGCAGCTCCGCCCATGACTCCATCTGGGCCTTGTCAGCCCTGGCCCTCGCCACCTGACCACAGTGCGTTTCTCAGTTGCTGGAAGTGAACAAACATTCTGGAACATTCCAGCAAGCCAATGAAGGCTTTGCTGATGAGCACTGAGGACGCCTTGCACTGCTGCCACCAGCTTGGAAACAAGAGGATGTAACACTGTCGAGTTTTTCGCAGATCCCAAATGGGATTGGCGACGCACCTCTGCTCCAGCACCAGCTGGGAAACTGGTTTGGCTGAACAGAATGTCCGGTCAAGAAACATGACATTGGTGAACTTCAGAGCTGTATTTTTGCGTTCAATGTTCCTCTTTCATTTCAACTATGCATACCATTCTTTCTCCATGACTATCAGAGGCAGTCAACTCGACACAACAGCGCAATGACGTAGAAAGGAGTGGCCGTTTCTTGGCCGGTGGTGGAGCACCATTTCTAAATGATTTCGAAACACCTCACAAGGCAAAGCCATTAACCACCACATCCTCCAGTAAAAGGTTCCTGTGCCTGTCGCTTTGTACCTCGGCAGCTCTGGCCCTTCCCTCGGCCTCTCGGCAGCGACTGGTTGCCCATTCCTCCAAATCCGCCTTCTCCTGGAGCACCCGCCTCAACTGGGCTTCCAGGCACGCCAGCTGCTCAGCCCTCCCAGAGCCCTGCCTTCCAGGGGGCTCACTGAGTCTAGCACTGGCAGCAGCAATGCTGGCCAGGTCGGCCTCAATTGAGGTGGTCAATTCTTCCGCCTTTCTTAACTGCAGAACAGGCCCGACACACAGCACAAGTCTTAGCCAGCAAGGTAAGACACCAGTTCATGGAAATTGGAGCACAGTTCACTGGGCTGGCTGGAAATCAGGCAATTAGGAAAAGCACGGAAGTCAAAGAAAGCCATCGCACACAGTCAATCCAAATGAGATCAGTGGTGCTTGGCATGTGTGTGGGTTGCTGTTCAATCCATTTTACAGACATGCTCCCTGACTGTATGTGTCGGCATTGGCGAATGACATAACCAACACGAAACATTGTTATAAAACATCCAAAACCGAGTACACAAATATTGATTGGTGTCCATGACATTGTGTGTAGGCATTCATCAGGCGATGGCAAAGGCGAGCATGCTTACAGGCAGTGCATCGTCCCAAACTGCCAACATCAAAGCCAATCTTTGAAGATAGACACCACAGTCACAACACACAAAGGTGCAATGTGGCATCGAACACAGGCAAGGCAACTCAAGATGTTGTGCAATGTGGGCTGACAGCAAGCTGTTGAGCAGGACCTGGCTGTGCTGTGCATCTTTCAGTTGGTTCCAGCAACAAATCAGACTTGCAATGCAGGGGTTCGGGCCATTTTGCTGCTCCATGGTGCACTTGGGAGATTGTCAGCTTGGTTTGCACAATGTTGCTGGGGCGGTTTTCCTGCGCAACAGCCTTGGCTGTGCCAGGGTGCGTCTGGCATCAACAACTCAAAACACCATTTTCGGGCATATGCCTGCTGCTCAAGTACTTAGGGACTTGAGTACTTTAAGAAGCTCAAGCTCTCAAGTACAAAAGCATTTAGCTCATTATTATGGCAGCACATTTGTCCAGTGCTCAATTTCAACAAGTTCACATGTTGTAAGACAAGATGGCATGCCACATATTGGCATTCATAAGATATCTAAGCATCCTTGGGACAGATGGTAACCTGGCCATTTCCTTCCCAGGAACTGTGTACTTTAAGAAATGAATGGAACCAATTCCAGCAACAAGTACAACAAGGTATGTCACTATTAGTCGCGGCTATCCCAGCAGCTTGAAATGACCCCACAATGCTTGCCAAAAGGAAAAAAATAACTTGCAGAACCATTGGCACCACGGTCAAGCATGGCCATGGCTGTGGATATAATGGTCCATGTTGCGAGTGCACATGAATGGCATCCTGGTGGCGCTCATGCTCCTTTGCATCGTTGGGGTGTTCTTTGTCAGCAAACAAAATATGTGAAGCAATGGGCGATGCTCCAAATGAAAAACTTCCAAACACATGTACCCATTATGAAAAGTGCCATGATGGGCTTTGTGGCATTTGTCCCCATTGCACCCAGAGAGTTGATGCTGTTTGCTCCAGTCAATGCACTACCCAGCCATGCAAATTTGCCCAGTCTATGCAGCAAATTTGGAGCAATGTGCGTGGTCTTAGACATCTGACAAATAGCTACTGGCAGATGAAGGCCCTTCTGCTGTTTTCTTTGTGTTTCTTTGTGCCCTTTCTTGGCTATTTCCACCCTTTGCACTCCATTTTTGTGGACAGCCCATTGGGCACAGATCGATACCATAGATCGGCGAGGCCGTTCAAGGCTGGCACACAGCAGGAGGGAAGAATCCATGAAAGCCAACTGTGGTTGTTGGCAATGGGACGCTATGCTGGAGGTCGGTGTCCATTTGACATTGCACCCACGCACCATGTTGCGGCTCATTCTGACTGCAAACTGCCTCAAAATCATTTTTGCTCAAGTGTAGTGGCCCCAATGTGTGGCACGATTTTCATCCTGATGAACATGGGGTTTGGAATGTGTTAATGTCCCAGCACGGTGAGGCCCCTCTCCATCCAAAATGACAGAGAATGGGAATCACAATTGTTAGATCATTTGAGACTGTTAGAACAGATGATGCATTATGAAGTTCTGAGATGGAGGCAAACGCCATGGCTGGAGTCATTTTCCGTGTTAGTAATGGATGCATTCGTTCATTCCCTCTAGGTACATGACATTATTGGGCACAATGTCCCGGGTCTCACCATGTCTTGGCACCTGCGCTGCAGGGCATCGATCTCCACCTCGTCTTCCAAGGGCCTCTTCTCTCCTGGGACAGCAATGCGAACATCAATTCACTTTGTCAGCCTGGCACCTCACTATGTCCAGCCATCTTTCACAGTGCGGAACAGATTACCATCGTCTTTTCCCACAGGAAGGGCTTGACGGTTTGATGACTCGGTTTTTCTCGTCACAAATAACACTCGCCCCGACGGGTCCCAACAGACTCTCACCCCCTAGTGGCGGGCCACCAACGCATCCCAGCACCGGGAGCTCCCCCCCCCCTCCGAGGCGGCATCTCTAAAACAGTCAGACAATCAGAGGCCATCTGGCCTCCAGGCGCCTCTCAGACAATATTTTCAGGCCCATTCCCGCTACCCGTTTCAGCAGATCGTCGCTTTCTTGGCGATTCACTTGCAATCTGATCGCCACATTCCCAAGGAGAACCGCCCTCCTCCGAGCACAAGCGGGCAGGAGTCCAAAGCACAGCATCCCGCGCCCACTCCCCCAAAAAAGAAAACTCAAAAAGATTTGCGGTCCCAAACAAAACGTGTGGCGTTCGATGCCCACAAAGGCGATTTTTCCGGTGCGACGACCGGGACAGCCCATTCCCGCTTGCAGTCCGAGGAGGGGTGGTCTAAGGCGCCCAGGAGTTGCCGATGGGCGAAATTTACCAGAAATTCCCAGGAAATCCCGGCAAATTCCGGGTTGAGCGACCGAGAAGTCAACGTCAGGATCCAGGGAAAGGATACACGATCAGCAGGATTCCCCTTTCGGGCCGCTCACCGCGCTGGTTGGAGGACTCCGCGGGTTCCATGGCCCCCTGGGCCCGCCGCGCCTCGCCGCCCTTTCAGCGGACGCCCTCTTGGGCCGAGTCGCTTGTCCCGCAGCGCGACCCGGAGGCGTCACGGTGTCGGCACGGAAGCTGGCGTGGTAATGGGCGAAAAAAGTCGCAAACCGGCAGAAAAAATGAAATAAAAAAGAAAGAGAAAAAGAGCTCTCGACCTTCGAAATGGGAAAGCTGCCGCTGCGCGGTGCGTGCGATGTCCAAGCGGGATGATGCGCGTCTGGCTGCGAGATTGTTGGCGTCTGAATGTGGTGGGCCGATGTGAAACGGGCCGTTTGCAGCGACCGTGATGGCGCAGAGCAGCAGGGGGTGAACACATTCATCCGCAATGGACAACATCTAAGCGTCCACAATAAATGGTGCAATAAAAATGAAAAAAATGCGACTGCGTTCCCCCAGGATATGTTACTTGTCAAGCACTTGTCAAGACGGGCACAAACTGGCTGTCCTGGTCGGTGTCCAGCCGCCCTTCGCCAGTGACGAGCAGCGGAGCACAGACAACAACGGCTCTGGAAACGCCGCAACCACTCCCTCCACCGCCGTTCTTTATCTATACCAACGCCATGTGCCCAAGAGACCTGGCAGGGCGTCGGATTTTTTAAACCCCGCTAGCCCCAGCCCTCGCCCAGCGGCGGCAACCCCTCCTTTGCCGCTCACGCGCACGGCTGCCAAACACTCGCGCCCGGCGTAGCAACAGCGCGAGAGGCAGAATGGCATGTCCGGCGCCCCTAATTAGGGGGTTGACAAACCCGCCATCCGAATCATCGACTGTCAGACATTGCGTTTTCCCAGTGATTGTGAACATAGCGGATGACCGACGGAGCATATTTCCTCACCATCGAGGAGCAGGGCGCGCTGCTGGAAGAAGCTCGGCAAAAAGGGTCGGCAGAGGTGCCTTTTGATGAACAAGGCCCTGGTGAGGCGCCCGTTGCGTTTTGGGCCGAGTAGGTGTCCTCCGTGTTCAGCACGGCGCGCGGTGGCCACGCCCCAAGGGGAAATGAACATGCGCGCCCCTTGGCCATTTTTGGGTGCCGATCCAGGGGTGCAGCTAGGGACCTTCCTTCCTCGACATTTTATCTGTCCCGTTTTGTTCCCTGACGAGACTGCGAGATCCAGAGGCTGAACTGACCGTACGGCTATGGCTGTGCTTGTCGAGCAGCCAGATCCTGCCCACTGGATCGCCACAATCCCCTTGCAACCAACGCCCGAGCACCCTCGTGGGGGGCTGCTCGCCAAGGAGCGGCCAGCCCGCCCAACTCGGCGCACATATTGGATCTCGGCGTGCGCCACGGGCCCGGGCGCGCGCTGAATGGTGGTCGCGGCTCAGGGCTCGATGCAGACCACCCGCGCCGGTTTGTTTCCCGCTTTGAATCCCAGTGCTGGGGATGAATGTGAGAGCCAGTTGTGTCCATGCGTCATTCAACGGCCCTGGGCTGTGAGGAAATCCGCGTCGGTGTTGACCTACAGGCAGGTGACTCGCCGCGTCTGGTGCCCGGGGTGCGCTCTCTACCCCAGCGGAAAACGGCACTATTGCGATGCCCACTGCGATCCAATTTGACACTCTTTGATGCCACTGCAGCTCTTTTTATTCAATCCAAATCACTGTGGTAGCGCCAGACTTGGTATTTACGTTTGCGTTTACGTTTTTGCGTTTACGCTTCTACGTGCAAGAACTTAAATTTGCAAAAGGGCCTATTTTTGTGGTTATTTTTACGTTTTTGCGGCTCCCTGGGACACCCAGATTCACGAAAGTCGCGTACAATAATCAGCCCTCCGCCACCTCCAGCACCCGCAACACCATGTCCACTTCGCCCTTAAAAAGAGTGACGATGGCGTGTAACAAACTAGTTTTCTACCCCTTTCAGCGTGTCTGGCTGCCACTCAACGGACTCCGCAAGTCTGTGTGTACTGTCCGCATGTATACGGGACTGTATTTACGTTGAATTACCTATTTTTACGCATTTTGGTGCGCAAAAACGTAAAACTATGTTTTAAGTGTAAAAACTTGAATACGATCAGTATTTACGGCGGAAAATCCAAGCCTGGGTAGGGCCATTTAATGTCGAAATGGCATCGCAGTTGGCATCACAATTATGGCGCTTTTGCTAGCGTTAAGACGGCCGCAGTTGTCTCGACCTGTGACGCACGGGCAAAAAGGACCTGAGGCAGTGGCTCTGCTGCTCCCTAAGTTTATATGTACTGTATTTATGCACAGTTGTAAGGGACTTGCAAGATGCATGATAGGGGCTGCATCTGCGTCTATACTTGCGCAATGTTAGGCCTGTTCACGCTCAAACACGTGAAATCTATTTTGCACGTAAAACACAAATACAATCAGCTTTGTGGCGCAAATATCAAGTCTCATTCTGTGGCATCTTGGCGTTAGCTACGATCACCACCACATAGCGTTTTACTTCAAGTCCACTTATTCCGCCCAAAAAGCAATGAGGGGAACCAAGAAAACTGTGGATTCGGTGTTAATTTCTGTGCAAACACACAAAATAGCATCAGGTACGGAACGACCAGCTGCTAAGCCTTTGGCGGCCCCACTCGCATATCTCGCGAAACAAATCTCAAGACCTTTCACCATTCCTCGAAAATCCCCAAGAGAAGACGTCCAATCTATAGACTAGTTGCCTGAAATTTGATTAAATATCTAAGCAATGGCATGCGGTGCTGCGAAATGCGTACATGTTTCTCAAGGATTCGTCTTTGTGGCACGTTGGCAAAGGAACTCGTTTACGCATATTGCACTGCATTTTTCAATTTTTTCGACGGGACAATGGGAAGGGGGCGGAGAGGAGGGGAACATAATTGCTTTTTTTGGCTCGGTGGGGTGGATATAAGCTTTACGGGGAGGCATGGCTCATGGTTCGCCATCTCCATATATGCAAGCAGCAATGTGTTCTACCGCCGTTCCAGAGGCCATTATCTTCCTAAATTCTGCGGCTGCAGGGATCCCCCCGTCCCTGAGATCATATCTGAGCCACCTTTGCGCGAGGCAGAGCTACGGAATTCGGGTAGCTGTCCCCCGGGGACAGTAAACCTTCTCTCGTAAACCTTCTCTCGGGGATTCGGCGCCTCTGAAGGCATTGTCGGCGGAGATGAGCACAACAGAGGGTTGGATTGTGTGCACTCTTTCGAGATTCCAAGGTGAACATTGCACCTTTTGCGTGCAGCTGCTGAGCAAGCATGCATGGTATCCCAGCACGCCCTGGCGCTGTATCGCATCTGCGAATTCCACTCAATTGTCTCAATATACACAAAGGACAGTAATGAACGCTGGCAAACAATCAGCTGCGTTGAACAGCGGTGCCTCAGTTTCTGTGGCGTGGAATTATTTTCCTACCATTCATTATTTGCCGCCAGGTTGTGTGAATGCCGTCGTGTCACAAGAGGCACAAATTTCTGCCCCAGTTCCTGCCCTGGTGTAATTGCCACATGTTTCGTCTGCAACGAGTTTTCCCAATAATTGCATCCCTTTATGAGCCAATCACCAGGATCCATTTGCACCATCGAGTTCCAGGTGCCTTGTTCGTGCCTCAGAAACATTGAGTGACGTCGCCTGGACACCAGCTTTAGCAGAATTGCAAATAACACCAAAATGAAAGTACTTTCATCTTCCTGCCATACTCGGTTTATGCAAAGTATCGTACCTACACAGATTTCAGATTGCACAGCGATCTTCGTATCTGGCTTCGATGGCCAATGTTCACCCCTTGTAACCAATACTGTGTGCTAATTGCAAGGAATTCACACACTTTCGAATGTTATTCTTATATGCCAACCCAAAATGAGGCTGGCGTACTTGTTGTCGGACACTTCTGTTAAGAGCGAACGGTTATGTCGATATCCAGCTTGGAAATCTGGTGTTTGTGATTTAAGTTTCTTTTGTATCTTCACGCTTGATCCAGTGCATTGGCATTGCCTCGGATATCCGCCGTCTGTGTCTTCCGCAATGTTGAACGGGGTGATATAGGAACCGTCCATTATTATCATACATAAATTACAAAAGGATTAAATCGAAAAATTATCCACACGGTTTCACCCATCACACAGCAAGCGTGTTCTCTTCGCTGCAATGCAACGCTCCAAAATGCCAAAGTCTTTACACAATAGTGAAGCCGTCGGAGCACGCATCATTTCATACATTACGTAGAGGTTTTATTTTATTTTTATAAAATATGTTTCCAGGCATTCCTCAACATAAATTGACTCGCAAAATCATGCAACTATTTATGGCTCAAAACAGTTTCAATCCCCGACATGACCGAAGAGACACTTGCAGTGTGCTTGACTTAGCCTAGGCACTTTCTTTATCGGAATTTTGTTGTTAGTTCATTTCATAACATGCCGTTGGAGTTGTAATTTAACGCAAAATAACACTGGACCTTTGAGGCATTCTTCGGTTCTTATGCAAATATCAACCTCTATTTGTTTTCAACATTCTTTAGTCCCTTGAGCAATCCACCAAGATTATTGCGAGCTTCTGTGCATGGAAGCATGCCAGACTGGCAACCAGTGAAGAGGCTACATCTTTCCAGTTAAACTGCCTTTGCCCTCCCAGGTGTTTTGTTATCGCCTATGCCATGCTCCCTCTGTGCTTCAAGATTTGCGTTTAAATTATTACATTCAACATTAAGGTGGTATGCATGGTGGTCGAGCCTTGAAAAATGGGCCTAGGCCTAGGCAATGCAGTTTTCTCGACAAATTCAGGTCATTTATGCATATGAGTGCTATTGGTATGCAACTCAATAGCCAATTCAGAACACTGTTCTGGGTATAGCAATTTATTTGACTATTCAGCGTTTGTTGGGCCGTGTACCGAATTTTCTGTTCTCAAATGTATATAACATGCTCGTGGACTCCAATCACAGCCGGGATCAAATTGTCACAATTTAGCTTATTCCATTTTATGCGAACGCGTGGTGACTCATGAGAACAGCCGCGCAGTGCTTCTCTATTACTGG